TCATGTAATTAGCCTAACCATGTAAACTAATATAAAACATGAAACTTTTGACAATTTTCTTTTAAATTGGATTAGCATGATCATTACCACATCAAAAACAGGTTTATAAGTTCAAAAACAGTTTAGGGTAATGATCCTAGTCCAATTCCAACCTTAAAACTCGAAAATATGCACTTAGGAGCACCAACTCGTCGAGTGCATGAACTAACTTGGCGAGTTGGTCAGATTTGTGAGGGGACTCGGTGAGTTCCCTAGTGGACTCGGTGAGTCCACTATTCAGAGAGCAGAAAATTCGATTTTTCAAGCATTTGAAAGCAAGCAGCATCAAGTATATTAGAAAAACAATCCTAGACTCTGATACCACTGATGGGTTTTGAGCATTCTAACACTCCTATGGTATACATGCAACCCTAAATACCTTGGATCTATGTTTTCTCTAATATACATGCAAAATTTCTTTTTCCAAGGTATCACCCTAACTAGTATACAAAAATCTAGTTGAATGACATACCTTTTGTTGTAGCTTGAACCTTAAGCCTTTAAGAGCCTAGCACCAATAATGTGAATGCGTCAAATGGAACCACAAATCACCACCAACAAATGGATGAAATAGAGAGAGGTTAGTTGCACTCAAAATTTCGGCTAACACTCTTGTGTGTATACTTAGTGGCCGATTTTGCTAGCTAGAGGGGTTCTTATATAGTGTGGCTTAATTAGGGTTACACCATGCAAACCCTAATGTGCATGACTTTCCACATTCCTCATGCTCCATGGGTTTTAACCCTCCATGGAGTATCCATGGGTTACCACATGGGTTTAGCCCAACATAAGGAATCATGGATCATTAGCCCACTTCATAAGAATGAATGATTTACACAATCAATCCCCATATATTTAATTAGTCTCTTTTGATCACAAAATTAATTATTGATCAATACCAATTAAATAATATGATTTCATATTAATATATTAGAACTTATAATATATTAATAAATCATAAATAACATCTTCTCAAAAGTCCATCCTTATAGATTGTTCTGGTGAAGTGCAACCCAAATGGACCATGCTACTCTCGGGTCAAGTACATACCAAAGTACCCACACAAACAATTAACACATATACAATAACAACATGCAATGGGTCCACAAATAAAAGATCGGATTACCCTTGAGCCCACAGTATCAGTCTGGCTTGCCTATCGGGCCCACAACTCATATCTGGCTTGCTCCTGAGCCCATAGCATAAGTCTGGCTTGCCCCCGGGGCCCACAACTTATGTCTAGCTTGCTCCCTAGCCTAATTAGTCATTAGACTGGCACATAAATGTTCAGACCTTAGTACGAGTCTGGCATACCGACCGGTCCTCAGCTCGTATCTGGAATGCTACTGAGCCCTCAGTATGAGTTTGGCATGCCCTACCCGACCCTCAGCTCATATCTAGAATGCTAATGAGCCCTCAGTATGAGTCTGGCATGCCCTCCTCGGCCCTCAGCTCATATCTGGATTGCTCCAGGGTTTGTTGGCTACCACACGGAGCAGTACAACCTCAACCCAACCCAATACGCCGACAAATAACAAATAATAACATATACTGATAATCATACAAATAGTGTCGCAGGCAGTCCTACAGATCTACCGAACTAGCATATCAAACTATCAAGCATATCTATTCCATACACAGCATATCAACGAATATCAAGTTATCAAATAAATGGGTCGGCCTTGGTGCCTTTGACCAGAAAGCACAGTGAGGAAAACTCACCTCGCCCTGTTGAATCTTATGGAAAGAATCCCTGGCTGCTGGCTCGCAAGAATCTCGGCGCTATCAATCACAAGATAAACATCCATCAATAATCGGATCCAACCCACGCTAAATGTCCAAACTAAGGTAAAAGACCTTTTTTACCCTCTTCATAACTTGGCCCCAAAGCCAAGGCCTAAATCAACAATCCAAAAGGCCCAAACATGGCCCAAAACATCCCAAGGTCAAACCTGATCAAACTTCTGGTCAAAATCAAAGTCAACAGCCCAAACACGCCGTGTTGCCCTTTGGACGCGTCGTGTTCTCCGATCATCCAGATAATCGGGAAAACCCTAGCCAACACATCGTGTTGGCTTTGCAAACACGCTGTGTTACCCCAAGTTTCAGCAGCTTCATACATTCAGCTGTTTTCTTCGATTCTAGGGACTCCAAGGCTCAGATCTAGACTCAAATGCTATCAAGAAGGATAAAGTTTCCAACTTTATCCTTTGGAACCACTCCAAGGGTCCAAAAACCCAACCACAAGGCTTGAAGATTCAAGGGCTTAACCCAATAAGCACTAAATCCTTAAAGTTGATGCCCAACACTTTACAGAAGAGGTTCTAGCACTAAAACCATTCCAAAGGTCGGTGCTTTATAGACATGCACGTCCAATGCATGTCTTGAGCCTATATTAGGTTAACAATGAGGATTATGAACAAATATCTATGCATGACATCAAAACTCACCCATAAACCAGATCCAACACTCTACAAGGTCACCTTGACCTGGAGATTCATAAAGTTGCAAACTTTATGAGATTTAACCATCCTAACATTCGTGAACAAGAAGATATGGGGACAAAACTCAAGATCTAGCAATATGGAATGATAAAAATCGGATCTTGGACACTTACAATGGTCCAGAAGGATGCCAAGCTGAAAGATGAGGGACTTGCTTGTTGGATCTTGCTTCCTTCTTCCAACTTCTTCCTTCTTTGGCTCCAAAACACCACACTAGCTCACAAATGAGAGGGAAAGATGATTAGGGTTTCTTTCAGGGCTTGAGGGCTGTTGGGGGCTGAGGGTGAACAAACCCTAGCCTCCTTATTCCTTTAAATAGGGGCAAAAACCCAGAAGATTAGGGTTTCATTTCTAGCGACCAACACGCCGTGTTCCGGGAGACAACACGCCGTTTTGCTCTTAATGAGACCCGCATATTTTCTTATCTCGACACGCCGTGTTGGTGCCTCCAACACGCCGTGTCCAATCCCCAAAAAGGTGATTTATACCAAAGTTGCTCCTCAATTTTCGGGTGTTACAGCTAACAACACAAATGCTCTAAGACTTACAAATATATGATATTTTATAAGCAAATTCATAGATATCATTTCAAATTTAGCTGAGAAATGACATTTTTGCTGATATAATCTATGTAAATATCATATATCAACAAAATTTTCATCGAGAAATGCGATTTTTGTAGATAATATATATGAAAATAGTATGTCTCAATGATTTTCTCGGTTATAAATAAAGATTTCACTAGCTATATCTTACTAAACATTAACAAAAACTAACAATATTATTTAACCATAAAATAAGTTAAAATCTATAAGGAGGGAGGGTATCTACCTTTCACATCCCTCCTAACCTACTTGCCACATCACACATAATCTTTTCTTTTTCTTTTCTTTTTAATCCCACACATCTCACAACAAATGGAAATCCATCTTTCTTATCCCTCCCAATCACTCAATTTTAAATTTTTAAATAATACAAACTAATTAAAATCATAAAACAAAAATATAAAAAACATACAAAAATAATTCACAAACAAATTAAATACATACAAAACTATTTTGATACAAGTTTTAATGTATGATTTACAAGTAATTTGGGTAGAGAGAATGAGAGAGAGTCTAGATAGAGTGAAAGGGAGCGAGTTTGTTTATCCGCTTGGAATCAATCTTGCAGTACTACTTGGGCGACAGATTTAACACTTAGGCGGTAAAGACTATACCGCCGACTTCCTATTTCAGTTAGAAGCCGACTCTGTCCAACCTAAAACAAGAATAAATTAAAAATAAATTCAAATACCTTGAAATGTGATGTTATTATATAGGGTTTATGCAGAAAAGTCTCATTATTTTAGAATTTTTTTTTTGTTAAAGTCATAATTTTTTTTTGAACAGAAAAATTCTAATTCTTTAATTTTACACAATAATCTGTCATTTCCTGTTAAAATAAAAATAATGAATTTTTCATTAATTTGAGCAAAGTATTAAATAATCAAAGACTTTTATGTTCAAAAAATAAAATTAAAACTTCATAAAAACATCCAAAATAATGAGACTTTTTTACATAAACCCTTATTATATATATATATATATATATATATATATATATATATATATATATATATATATATATATATATATATTAATTGAGAAATGAATAGTGAGTTTTTGGGTTTGAGACTTTAGCCATAAAAAATTGGTATATTTGTAATTTTAGTTTTTATAAGTTTTAGGTTTTATATTTTGACCACATAACAATTTTGTATAATGATATATTTGGTCTCTAAATTTTTTGGGTTTAAGACTTTGGCCACAAAAATTTTGTATGTTGGTAGGTTTGGTCCTTATATAGAAAATAAATTACAAAACTATCCATGTAATTTACAGAAAACGTTCGTATACATTTTCCTTACAAAAACGGTCCATATATTTAAAAAAATAAGAAAAATGCTCTTTACCTAATTAGAAAATTTACAAATTACGTTCTTACAAACGGTGATAATATCACCTTGTTTGGAACAAAATTCATGTTTAGGAGTAACACTCATTTGTTTAAAGTGTTAATAAAAGAATATTATAAGGAAAAGAATAAAAAAAAGGCTTTTTATATATCTAATCTATGAGATCTATAATTTTTCTTTTTCTTAAATGCCATTTGCAAAATCAATTGAACGAAAAAAATAATATTATGTATTTATTGATGAAAAAAAATAGAAAGGGGAATTTGGAAGGTGCATAAAAAAACCCCTTTGCAGATTTCTAGTTTTCTACTACAAAATTATAAATATTATGACAATTTCTATAAACTTTTATTAAATTTTAGTAAATGATAATAAGATTTGAAATATTTATCTTTTAGTTTTTTCCCTTTATTAATTTTCGACCAAGACGATGAGCGTGAGTACACCTGCTCATTAGGCGCGTGTTCCAACTAAGAGTCTTTTTAAACGCAAACCAGAGTATGAGTCTCGGTCATTGTCTCTCTGTATCACATTTATATGCATATCTGATATCTCTGGATCTATTGTTCTCGCCTGTTGGAACCCTAACTTTCTCTCCGTTAACAATGAAGTTTAAGCGTCGGCTGAAAGATGCAGAAGCGCAAGGCCAGCAAAATCCATTTTATCATTCGCAGTCTTCATCATCCTCGTCGCCTTATACTTACTACACAGAACAAGGGATTCGAGGTTTGTGATCGCTAATTGATTTTGTTTGTTCAATGTTTTTGCTGAGAATATAGAGTAACTCTGTGAGTTTATGCCTCATATTTTGTGAACGAGTGAAGTGTAGCGGAGTTGATTTCTTGGACATTGAATGTGTGCTTCTTTTGATGTTTTGAGTTGCAGCAGGTTTTCCAACCGGAGACTTTAGTGGAGGCCACGGAGGACCGGCGGTTTTTCGAGGACGTTTTGACATGAGAGATGCGTTCCAGCGGGAGATTGAGAAGGAGAGGATCAGAGAGGAGTTTATAGCAGAGGAGATGGCTCGTAAGCGTATTTTGGAGGAGGTAGTGCGGCATGAGTTGATGATGGAGCGGGAGATGATGGCTATGAGGAGCGGCGGAGGATTTCCCTCGCCGTATATGCCGCTACCACTGCCGGGGAGCCACAATAACCTATTTGACGCAGGAATTTTGCATCGGCAACCGATTGGACTGGAGGAGAGAATCATAATTTCTCTTGATGAAAAGTATTCCCGCGGCGGTGGCGGTGGCGGCTATCCATTGGAAATTAGGGATTTTAACGTTCTCCCATATCAGCGATTTGCCGATGCACCGATAATTCAAGAGATTCCTACGCCTCTCCCAGAGAGCAGCCAAAAGGAAGTCATTGTTCTGGTTAGTATCTTCTTTTCTGTGTACATGCTTCATGAATCATTATTCTATTTCTGATTACCCCTCTAAAATACAAAACCTTTTAAACCCCTTGACTTGTGTTTCTTATTGTAGCGTAAGCCCAAAGGTGAGACCCTCACCGGAGCAAAACGGAAACCAACACCACCAGTCGCCGGAGACTCAAGCGGGTCCTATTCAGACACTTCAAAGAAGAAGATCAGAGAAGAGTGGAACTGCGCCATCTGTCAGGTCACTGCCACTAGCGAGCGTGGTTTAAACGAACACCTTAAAGGCAAGAAACACCAAATGAAAGAAGCATCTCTGATAGCCCAGAAAACCGGTGCTAACTGTGGTCTCGGGGTTGCAACCAAAAAACCAGTGGTCAAGTCGGTCAAACTTGATGTCACAAGAGTCAACCTGAGCTCCAAGGAGAAAAACTCCAAACCCAGAAAGCGTTCACGTTCAGGTAATCAAACACCATCAATGGATAGCAGTAAATCAAGCACAAGTTCAAAGAAAGAAGATGAGATGAAGGGGGAGAAGAACAGTGATAAATTCAAGTTTTGGTGTGAGATGTGTAAAGTGGGAGCCTTTTCTGAAAAAGTGATGAATAATCATAAAGAAGGGAAGAAACATTCTGTCCAACTTGTTGAACTGCTTCAAAAGGGTAAATCTGTCATTCCTTGTGACATTGAGGAGAAAACTGGAACTGAAACAAAGGAGACAGAGGTCAAACTGGTTGAAGAAGAAGAAGAAGTAAGTATCTAATTATTTATGCTGTACAGAAGTAGATGTTACGTTTTTTTAATGATAGCTTTATGAGTTAAAAGCCTTCAAATTTTCACATTATGAGGAAGGTTTGTCAACATTTAAGTTAATAGCTTAATAGAACTTTAACTAATATGTCTAAAGATGTTTTTTTTTTTCATTGTCATGTTAATTTGGAATGACTTTAAGCTCTTGACCCTTCTCTTTTTATTGCTTTTGTTCTGTTTATTGATAAATAAATAAATCCTTCTTAGTTTGTACATAACCAAGCATAGCAAAGGACTATAACTAAACCTTCTATTTCATGTGTTTATAAAGAATGTACATATTGCTATGTATTATGTAATTCAATCCATAAGGCTAGAATACTTCTGATATACATTGCAATACACATTTAGTATGTTTTCATCAAATTTAGGGATATACAAGTCATAAACCCCATTATCAAAAAAAATTCTTAGTAACAACTTACTTTGCCAAAATGCTCATTTAAGTAAAATCTATCAACGTCGAATGATATTTTTTCACGTGAAGATCTCTCATGGTATCGTTTTAAGATTGCTCCAAACCTTGTACCACATCATGGATTCATATTGTTAGAATCTAACCTTCTCATTTTGCCTATTTTCTCACACGTATTTGTACACACATTCAAGTTATTTATTTATACATATTACAACATCATCATTTATGTATTATCATATTGTTAAGAGTTTTAACCTCTACCTACACTTCTCTTCAACCTTGTCATCATTTATTATCCCCATCTTCTTACTATGGTGATGTATTTAATTTGCACTGCATATTTACGATTTTCTCACGCTTGTACCTAACAATTGCAAATAGATTCTATATTTTCCGTTTACATTGAAGACCACAAAGGTTAATAAAAAACTTGGGGTGCTGCATACAAATACCTTGGCTTTTTAACAAATTACATCAAATCAAGTTGTATTTTCACCCTCTTGTATTTATTTGGTTTGTAAATGGCATAAATGGTAAAAGTATGATTCAAGAGTGCTCATATCATAAATATAGCTTCATATTAGTCAACAGTTATGTTGGTTTACCGGGTATAATTCCGAATATAGTCCCAGTTAATAATCTTCTTAAACTTTAGCCTTGACGAGAGATAATTGGCGTCATCAAATGACGCCGATTAGCAAAGACATATCTTCATCATATTACTACCAAACTCGTTAGGACTTAATCAAATCAACATCGAGATCGATTTTCTCACAATATTACAATTATGGATCCACATTGAAAGGGAGGGGTGTTGGTCTGTTGGACCCCACTTACTAGTCACTATTAGTATTATCCCATATAGTTTATATAAAAATAGAAATATATTTAAAAAACAAGGACTTTAAATACGATTTGGTTACGTATTAAACTAATTCTCAAATCTTGGATTTAGAACATTTTCAGTTATCACGTTGAACTCCGACTAAATTTTGTTAAGAATATGACGGGGCGAATTTATGTTGTTTGAAGGTGGGTCCTAGGATCCACCTAATTTTATAAATTTTGTAGCATGGATTATACTTATACATGACAAGATGGGATCTGTCATATAAAATTTCAATAATCTAACTTATAATGTTTGGCAAAAAAAATATATATCAAAATGTACAAAAGTCCACATTTATATTCCATTCCACTGAAAATAGCCCAATTCCTAGTCAATTTAAAATTTAATCATTATCCAATAGCCTAATTGATTTAAAATTAAACAAAGAAAAAAAAAACAAAAAAGCCTTTTTGTGAAACACTAAAACGTCGACTGATTTTGTGTTTGTCTACTTGATGGTTGATATCTTGTGAATCATAGATCATTTGTTGGTGATTTAAGTGTTATCAACATATTTTGGTGTAAATATTATTAATAATGAGATAGACCGAGCTCCATTTACTAACCGAGCTTGGAGGAGCGGGGTGCACACTCGGGGTCCACTTATGGAAAGTTTGAATGGTTGGTTTGATGGATTAAGAGCTTATTGGATTAAGCTGGTCTGAACAGTCACTACGACGTCGTGAATGGGTCACCACGACATGGTGGACGGCTGTCATGCGACTGTTTTGCCCTATAGCCCCCACGACGTGGCTGGAGCTAGCCACGACGTAGCGAGTGACTGAGTTTACTTGTTGACTTTGACCTTTGACCAAGTTCGACCTGAGGGTATTTTGGACAATATTTTAAGACAAGATCATTGTTTGTTGTGCAGGTGACCCGTAGAGTTGGTACGTGGAGTTGTGGTGTGATCAACCATCTTTTCAGACTGAGATGTGAGTTTTCATCAATGTACTTATGGGTCGAAGGCACCAATGTCGGCCCACTGAGTTATGTATCCTGGTTCAGAGGATGTTGCTTTGATGAATTGATCTGTTAGAACTAAGTTCTAATATATAGAATGTTGTTATGCGATAGTGAACTGTAGATTTGCCTGTTAGTCTGTTGACTGGTTATATGTGTTGGATTAGGTGTCTAAGCCATTAACTAAATTATTCTAAACTTAAACTATTAGCAAAGTCCCTTTGGGTTGCCCTCAAACCTAGTAAGAGACTGGAATGCTATTTGAGAGAGAGAGAGAGAGAGAGAGAGAGAGAGAGAGAGAGAGACTGGTTTATTAATTTATTATATGATTAAAAAATTAATTTGAAATCAAAATAAATAATTTATTAATATGTTTTTGATAAAAATATATTAATTCGAAATTATGTTGGTTAATTATAAATTAATCAGAAATTATTTGGACTTAATTTTAGGATTCATTGAAATAATTAAAAGTGGAAGGACTAAAGGTGACAATGTTTAAAAGTTCAACATTGAGCAATTCTAGAATGTTAGGGGGGACGAAAATTCTAGAGGAGTTCTAGATAGTTTCTAGAGCCTTTCTTGGGCTCTAAGGAAACTTGGGGGGAAAGCAAAGGGATAAGGCTTATCCAAGGAAACATGTCTTATCCAAGCCTCCTTGATCATCTATATAAACGTTTCCATAGCCTCATATTTTCGGCACTCATTCTAAGGAACCCTAGAGCCGAAAATCCTATCCCCTCTCCTTTTTCTTCAATAGCCTCCAACTTCTAGTGTTTGGGTGTGAGCCATCAGAGGCACGAGATTTCTGGTGATGGCTTTCTGAAGTTCTACAAAGAAGGAATTCATGTTTATTTACAACAATAAACTAAAAGGTATGTTTTTCTAATAACCTTTCTCAATTTCTAAAATAACAATGTACTTTAGGGTTTCTTGAATTCAAATTGTTGTTTGCAAATCATAGTGAGAACATAGATTCTTAGGGTGTATGCAAACTTAGGATTAATGTTTTTCTGCCTAAAATATGATTTTTGAAACATATAAAACCCATCAATATGATTATCTGTTACTGTTATATGTTATCTGTTATGTACATGTCGACATAATATGGTTGGGTTGAGGCGTTACTGCTTTGTGTGGAAGCCAATAAACCTGGGAGCAAGCTAGACATAAGATGTAGGCCCAAAGGGGCAAGCCAGACTTATGTTGTGGGCTCGGGAGTAAGCCAAACATGAGTTGTGGGCCTGAAGGCAAGCCAGAATCATGTTGTGGACTCGGGGGTAATCTAGTCTGTTAGTTGTGAACCCAATATGCATGTTGTTATATGTTGTGTGGTGGTACTTTAGGGGAACTCACTAAGCTTCGCGCTTACAATTTCAGTTTTATGTTTCAGGTACTTCAGATGATCGGGGAAAGGTGAAGGCGTGATCATGCACATCCTTATGCTTTTATGATTTTGGATTTTGGGGATACTCTGAATTTGATTATTACTCTTGAAAACAATGTTTTGTAAACAATTACAGTCTATGGATTGGTTTTGAAAAATTGAAAATTTTACCCTGATTTTTGGGATGTTACAAGTTGGTATTAGAGCCCTGGTTTGAGCGAATTGGATGAACATTCGTGTGAATCCAGACTAAAACTAAGGATTTGCTAAAGTTTTCAAATTATTTTCAAATTAAATTTAAATTATTTTCAAGCATAACCAAGGAAGGATGAGATGTGTACGATCAGTCGGAGCAAGAAAGTTTACCCCCAAGATACCCACTGCTATTTGCTTATGATAATTATGATATAACTGCATGCTAGTAGTAAGCTAGGGATCTTCAGGAATTGAATGATAGAATTGTTTGATGTGTGATGCCTGATAGCCTAATAGGATTTCTGGTATGTTAGATGAAATTGACATCATTACTGTAGTTGCTTAGTGTGTGCATCATAGTTGTACATAATTAAGATTATATAGCCTGAGAATGTTTGATTTAGCCTTATTTCTTGTTCTTGTCTGATGAAGGGCTCAGGGTAGGATCAAGTATTCAACTGTCTATAGGATCCAGCGTTATGTATGATTAGTATGCACAAGTGGTTGTGGGGTTGGTGGAAGTTTCATGAGTGAGTATGTGGGTGTAGCCGGCCAGTTGAGGAAGGATTAGCCACTCTCGAGAGATTGAGGACAGGATGAATATGTATCCTAGATGCTTGGGCCTAGTGGTCAAGAATTGTGCATAAGGATCTACCTGATTTTTATTGTGCTTTAGTGCGGTTGTTATGCTGTTTAGTGGGAATTGGGAGTGTTATTATGAGCAGTTGACTTAGAGGACTCGAGATTGACTCTTGAGGAAAGTATGGATAGGTGTGGAAGGTAATATTTGGCCTTTACTACTGGAAACACAAGATCCATACTCGAATCAAGAAAAGTCATGAGGATTCTAAGGAGCTGGTTGAGGGTAGATAGCATGGTTGGATAACCATGACTCGTGGCGGGGTTTCTGTATCTGTCAATCTTATAGTTATGGTTGTTTAGGCTAAGGATGAGTATGGTGATTGGTTAGGATTTAGTATCCATATAGGATTGGGTTTGAATGGTGCAGACCTAGGTGAGTTAGCTGATTTGAGGTCTTAAGGGATTTGCTCGATGGTAGTGCCAATTGAGTCACGAGACTCAAGAAAGAAGCGATTGTTATGATTGGCTCGAGGATTGCAGCTAGAGGCTGAGTGATCGGCAGATAGATTGGAATATCACTATCTTTGGCAGGGGCTTATTCTTCTAGCCTTCCATGTTCAGAGGAAAAAGAGGGCAAGCATGTGATTTTTGGAGTTGGGATGTAGATGATGGGTTTTAGGCATAACAAAACAAATTTAATACTCTTAAGTGTGCATGCAACCTAAAACAAGATCTATGCTTTCACTATTGAACCTATAACTATGAACATCAAAATAAGAACCCTAGGAACCCTAAGTAATTTTTGAAAATTACTAAAGAAGAAGGTTTAGGGTTACATACCTTTTAGTTGTTATAGTAAACAATTAGAAATCCTCTTGTTGATCTTTTGGAAGCAAGCACCACAAGCGTCGTGCCTTTAATGGTATCACACCCAAGCTAGCAAGAGGAAAACTATAGAGAGAGGAGAAGAGAGACAAGATTTTGTCTAAGGCTTGTAGAGGGAAGGGATGCACAAAATCAAGGGCTAGGGGGGCCTTTATATAGCTGAGGAATCTTGGGGCCAAAGCTAGGGTTTAGAGGATAACCATAGATTCCCTTGTTTGGTAACCACGCAACCCAATCCCATATCCAAGGGGCCTTGGACGAAAATTATAGGGCTTCCCTAGAAGTTTTCATCCACCTCATCTAATGAGGTTCTAGAGCCTTCCTTCCTCAACTTTCAATAAATAACCAAACTGTCTCTGACTTTTAGTTAACCCAATTAATCTCAAAATTAATTCCAATTAATTTCTGATTAATTATTAATTAAATAATATGATTTCTAATTAATATATTATTTTCATAATACATTAATAAACCATTTATTTAATTTATTATTCACATAATAAATTAATCTCTCTCTCTAAAAGTCATCCTGTCCAATTGCTAGGTTTGAGGGCAACCCAAAAGGACTATGTTACTATCAATTCAAGTATATACCAATTTTAGTTATGGGCTTAGACACCTAATCCAACAGTCTCCCACTTGGATAAGTCTATAACTATAATTTCCAGCATAACTTCAAAATTGATCAGCAAATTGTAGCTCCCAAAAGCTGTTGTCGAACTCTGACCCAGTCAGTTACGTGTCCTAAGATAAGTGAACATATAATCCTCCGTTCTACAAGATATTATCCGAACATGATACATGGAACATAATCAATATCATTGTCCAATACTTTGTTTCCCGATTTATGATTTATAATGACATAGAACTTCTAATCGAACACATCAATTTAGTCCTGGTCGGGCCCACCACTATAAGTCAACACCAAATCACTGAGGGGCCCAAAGATCTCGCTTTTCCCGTTAGGGCAAAAGGAACGAATAAAATTTGACTTATATGATTGTACCATTTACTCATCAAATCATGCACAACAACAAGTTTTATAACATCAAGTTACTGATGCGTTTACGCATTATCAATGCACAACTGACTTGTAAACAACAACTCATATATCTCCGTTTTAAGATTATAAGATGTTTTCGTCTCAGAATTACTCGTGATAAATTCCATGAAGTAATTCTCTGAGCGTGGGTTAATCCAATACTTAAATCTCGATTTCAAAGTACTCATGAACATTGCAGCAATATCATTGTTATGTCTAAAACTCTTTAGACAATCTACAATCTAATTCATGACAATCTTAATTCACTACTTACTTCCAAAAGTACGAACGACTGTGGAATTTGAATAATCAAATTATTCGGGAGGTAAAACATGCAAAATGAAACACAATAATAAACAATTGACAAAAGGTAGTAAACAAACTCATAAATAAGTCTATATTATTTAATCACCAAAAGTCAATTACATTTACTTTGTTACAAGTTTCAAACTAACTATCTAACTACTAAAACTAATAGCATCTCTCAGACCAATTCTCCTAGCATGTTGAAAGTGTTTAACCCTACTCAAACCCTTTGTGAGTGGATCTGCAGGATTCTCTTCAGATGATACCCTCTTTACTACGAGGTGACCTTCTTCTACTCTATGTCTGATGAAATTGTATTTTCTGTCGATATGTCTTGATCTGCCATGATCTCTTGGTTCCTTTGTCAAGGCAACCGCTCTTTCATTATCATAGAAACTTTCCATTGGATCCTTGAGGGCTGGAACAACTCCAAGGTCTCCGATGAAGTTCTTCAACCAAATTGCCTCCTTTGATGCTTCGCTTGCCGTTATGTACTATGATTCACAGGTAGAATCAGCCACTGTCTCTTTCTTGGAACTTTTCCAAGTAACTGCTCCTCTATTTAAGGTAAACACCCAGCCAGATTGATAACGAAATTTGTCTCTGTCTGTTTCGAAGCTGGCGTCACTATACCCATTTACTCTCAATGTATCACTGCCGCCAAGTGCTAGGACCCAATCCTTAGTCCTTCGCAAATACTTGAGAATATTCTTAACTGCTATCTAATGAGCTTTACCTGGATTTCCCCGATAACGACAGACCATGCTCAAAGCAAAGG